GCCAAAGTGGTACTGGGTCAGCTGTAAGTATAGGATATAGAAGGCTCTAGTAGGCTTAGTATAAAGTTAAATATAACTTAGTGACCATGGTATATTTGTAGCAATGACTGCAGTTGATAAGGTAAAGGTGGATATAGAAACTAGAGTATTTAAATAAAGAACCTACAGATGGGTTCTAGGTATGGTAACTAGTGTAGAACCTTCAGGCAGACTACTTAAAATAGACAATAACTAAAGTTGTATGAGTGGCTAGTTGTATACTTTTTCTATAATTGTCTTTGTAGCTGTTGTACATAATAGTTATATGCTGACTGATTATCAATAAACTCCTAGGTCACAATTACTTGCCTTAACATTAAAAAAAAAAATAAAATAAAACAATATAATAAACAGTAGAAAAAAATTACTATTATTTTTAACATATTTAGAATCTGGTATTTTCTTCAGAAAAACTTTTTTTTTACTAAATAAACTTATTTTTTAATATCTAAGCAAAGTTGTAAAGAAGAAACATATAATTATAATAATAGTTAAAATATTTAAATTGGTCTAGTAAATTACAAAATATGATTATTTTTGTTTTTGTAACTATATATATATATTTTTTGAAAAAAACATATAGTTACAAAACAAAAATATTCATATTTCATAATTTACTAGGCTTATTTAAATATTTAAACTATTATTATAATTGCATAACTCTTATTTACAACTTTACTTAAAAATTGAAAAGCAGTTTATTTAGTAAATAAAAATATTTTTTTGAAGAAATACCAAATTTCAAAAATGATTAAAAATATATAATAAATATATTCTTATATAAATTATAAATTAAGTGTTATTTAACCTAATATTTGAACTTTTTTTTTATATAATTGCTAAACTGTTAGTTACTTTAAAGCATATCACCTAGCTATAAAACTTAGAATGTCTTTTGTTAACTAATTTATCTACTTTATAGACTATTAACAAGGCTATAATTTTGTAAAGTTTATTCAAATTTTAGTATTAATTTTACAGCATATTTTTAGTATTTTAGTATATTTCTACTTTAGCTTTAAACTTTCAATTCAAACAGTCTAATAGAATGTAATTTATTCTTAATATATTAAGTTTAGCTTAATATTTTTTTTCTTTAATTTAAATTCTAGCAATTTAATTAGCAAAATTACTTATCAAAAAGTTTTTGTTTGCCTAATTTCTTTACTAATATTTGTTTTTTAAATTTAGCTTTTATAATATTACTATTAAAGATCTATGTTATCTTTTTATTTAGGGTTTTTTAAATAGGTTTTTGTTTTTTTAATTTTACAGATTTATATAGTTACAAGAACTTATTTTAAGTTTATATTATCTAATACTAGTTTATATTTGGTTTGCATTTTTTTATATAATTAAGATTATACAGATGTCTTATAACTGCTAGTTATGCTTATATAACTATAATTATAAGTATTTAATTTTAATTAATCAATAAAAAACTATTGCTATAACATAAATAATAATTTAAATTTTTGCTATTAGTAAGTTTTAAACTTATTACCTATTATTTAAAAGAATAACAACTTATTTACTTAATTAAATTATTATATTTGGAATTTTAAAATATTAAAATATTAGAATGTAACAACTTAGTGAAGTGAATAAGTTATTAACCCTCCAAGTAGTAGATTGGAAGTTCAAAATCTACTGATAATGAAAATTTGGAAAACCCACTTATATAATATTGGTATTACAAGAGGTAAGCAGTATTACAGCAATGGCATTTCATCAATCAGTTGGAATAAGATATTTGTAACATGGTTGTACTAGCATAACTGGCAGGTTATAGGTCATTTGCACAATATTAGAGTTATACAGAGAAATGCAAACTGGCATTTGATAGTACAAATCCAAAATAAGTCCTCATGACCATGTAAATTCATAAACTAAAAAGCTAAAGCCTACTTGAAAAATCTCAAATAAAAAGATAGTACAGATCTTTAACAGTACTACTGTAAAGGCTAGATCTAGAAAACAGATACTAATGTAGAAGGAATTAGGTAGGCAAGAACCTTAGGTAAGAGGTACTACTAACTAGGCTGCCAAAAGTCTCGAATTAAAGAAAAAGGACCTTGAAGGCAGACCTTAAGGTACCAGGAACAGGTCATAGTTCTTTCAGGCTATCTAAATTAGGAGTCTAAGATTAGAAGCAGAAGTATACTATAAGTACTAGGGATATATTGTAAAGTTGGTGCTAAGGTCTAGATGAACTCTGCAAAGTTAAACCCTGTTAACAAGAGACTAACTGTAAGTAGTTAGTTAGCAAAAGAGCCCTCTAAAGCTCTACAGTCAGATAATATATTCTAAAATATATAATGGCTTAACAGATATACAGACAAAGAGATTAAAATTAGGTTAGATAGACTTTAGTATATAGAAGCTTGTGCACTATTTGTTAGTATAAGTATAGAAATCAAAGTATTTAAATAAGTAATCTTCTAGTAGATTACAGATATGGCAACTAGTGTAGAACCTGCTATGCAAACAGATTATTTAAAATAGACAACTAAAAGTTGTATATATGATTAGTTGTAAACTTATTTTGTACAAATTATATAACTATAATTAAAATACAAAAAGGTAATAGTAGCCAATAATCATGACCTTAGTGAAAGCAAAAAAAAAAAATATTTGTTTTTATAAATTAAGACTATTTTAAATTAATTTTTTATTTAATATATAGATATATTATTAAGATTAATATTTATAATAACTATTACTTTTATTATATTTTTAATTATATATTATATCTAATTTGTACAAAATAACTATATAATTAACTATATATATAATTTTTAATTATTTATTTAAATAATTTGTTTAAAGATTTTATATTAGTTATTATATTTGTAATTTACTAGAAAATTACTTATTGGTCTTTATAGTTTACTAAATGAGTAGTGTCTAACTTTTGTATATTAAAATATTATCTAACTTAATATTTTATCTTTTTTCTTATATATTTATTAAATTATTATTTATATTATCTAATTGTAAGCTTCTAAACATCTTTTTGCTAACTAATTTATTTCTTTATAAACTATTAATAGAACTATATGTTTTATAAAATTTATTTAATTCTTAATATTAATTTTATAACTAAAGTTTCTCAAATTTAAATCAAATCAAATATTGAATTAATTTGAATTTGATTTGATTTAAAAATTTCAGATTTGAATTTGATTTAAATATTTTGATTTAAAAAAATTTTAAAATATTGTTCAATAAGATAAAACTTAATTTACAAAAACTTTTACTATATTAATCAATCTTAAACTTTTAAATAACAATGTTCTTCTAAATAAAATACTTTTAGATTTATAAACAAAAAAATTTAATTATCTTAATAAAATTTTAGATAAATAATATATAATTTTAAATATATAATTATAAAATTTTTTAAATTAAATTAAATATTTGTTAAATCAAATCAAATTTGATTATATTTGAATTTAATTTGCTTTGAAAATTTCAAATTAGAATTTGATTTGAAGTTAAATATTTAATTAAATCAAATCAAATCAAATTAAATTATAAAACTCTATTTATAACATATCTTTAGTATAACTTTGCTTTGTTCTTAAAATTTTAATTCAGATAATCTAAAAAGATTGTAATCTGTTTTTGATATATTAAGATTGATCTAATATTCTTTTTCTCTAATCTGAAATTTGATAATCTGATTAATGATATTTTCTATCTAGAGGTTCTTGCCTGTCTGATTTCTTTACAATAATATTCATTTTTTAAAACTAGTCTTTACAGTAATACTATTAAAATTAATATCACTTTTCTATTTAATATAATATTAAATAGTTTATAAAAATAAAAAATAGATTGCAAATTATATGTCAAAGTCTTTATTCTTTATACATAATTTAAAAGCAAACTTTTTTTTGTAAAAACTTCAATTGAATTTCAATAAAGGCATAATCTTACCTTTAATATTTAAATATATATATATATAAAATATAAAAAAAAACAAATTAAAAATACAATAATTCTATTGACTATAAAAAATACCAAATATATAAAAACTAATACTGCAATTTGACTAGTTACTGTAATATGTATTTTTTTTATAAAATTTTTTAAAAAAAGAAAAAATTATTTTAAATAATTAAATTAATTTGACCTAACGCTAATATTCAAATAAAAATTGTCTTATAAAAATTATTGTATTTTAACATACTAAAATCTTGAAATTTTTGAATATAATTCTGATTTTATTTATTTATTTTTTAATTAAAAAAAGACTAATTGGGGCATACAAACTTAATAAATCGATAATATTTTTAAAAATGACCTGGCTACCCGACTTTTAATTTTTTTTTAAAAAAATTATATATAAAAAACAATTTTTTTAAAAAAACTCACCCGGATAGTAAGTATACTTGAAATTTTTTTTTAGAGTTTTGTAAATTTTCGATCCGGCCAGGTTATGAGAACCGATTTATTAAGTTTGTATGGCCTTATTCGAAAAGTTTCAAGATTGTAGAACTTCTCTGTGAAAAGATATAGGTGCGGAAAAACTTTTACCTGACACTGTATCGAATGTCACTTTAAGATGAATTTAAAGAGAACAATTAATTTAGCCGAACGTAGTTAATTATTTTTTAAAAAATATTTGATTAATTAGTTCGGAACGTTATTTCGCGCAAATACGATATTTGTCAAGTTATAGGGTATCTCCTCGTGACCAACCATTTTAACATTCACCTTTTGTCATTTATCCGGTTCCTGAGATAAAATGTTATGACTAAAAAGTACAGTATTTGCACGGAATAACATATATAAGCATTATTTTGAGACATGAAATTTAGTAATTATGTAATTAGCTCGTGTCTTAAAATGGTCACAAATACGGTAAATTCACGAGGTTCTGGTGTCACTAAGTTGTAATCCCCCAATTTGCATACATAAATGATAGGAAACGTCAGATTATACTCGTTAACAAGATGTCGAGATTTCAACAGCTGCTAGATCATCCTGCAGGTATTTGTAAAAATAATTATTGCATTGCTCACGAATACCTTTTTGCTTTGAAACTGAGTTATTTGTTTTACTAATTTATTTTTAGGGCCGAAAACCGTTTTTTTCTGGGCTCCAATAATGAAATGGGTAAACACTTAGATCACGTAAAATGATTTTTTTTTTTGTTCTCATATCACTTTCTGAGTGGGTCTTTTGTTTTTATACACAAAAAAAAAAAAAAAGAATTTATGAATGAGAACCAATTTATAAATTTTATGTGGCATTATAAGTTATACAAACTTCAGAGGTCTTAGAGACTAAATTTAGTTATTAACTACGTTCATAATTAGGCGTTAGTCATTGCTGGCTTGAGTGATCTTCAACGTCCCCCAGAAAATTTATCAGTATCTCAAAATGCTGGTATGTGTTAATTCTTTTCTTCACATTATTTCAAACATTTATATCTGGTTTTTTAATAGTATATTATTTTTTTTTTTGCATTAATATAACAGCCCTTACAGCTACTGGTGTAATTTGGTCTAGATACTCCACTCAAATTATTCCTAAAAATTATCCATTACTATCAGTAAATATATTTGTCGCAGGTATCGGAATAACGCAATTGTATAGGATATGGAAGTGAGTGCAGATTTTTAACCTTATAGAAATAAATTCTTTCAAAAGTTATACTTAATAATTATTTTTATTTTTTTTTATTATAGCTACCGCCGGAAACTACAAAATTTGCCATAATTTACATTAAAAAATTTTCTATTTTTAAAGAGTTTAGAAAAATTCATTAATAATGTATTAAGACAGATTAATTCAAACTACTTATTTTAAATAAAAAATCGAAAACATTACTAATCTAGGGAATTCGAATATTTTGCCAAAAACTGGTTGATTTGTGAATCTGAGATTGTCCTTTTGCTTTTTCATCATCTTCAGAACGAACAAGTCTATCCAAAGTTTGATTAAAATTTTCAGGAGAATTATCAGGGTCACAAAAAAATCTCGCTACAAAAGAATATTTCCACATAATTTGTTGATTTAGATTTTTTTTTTCCAATTCCCATTGAAATTTATCAAGAATTGTAAAATCGCCTTTTGTTTTATTAAGATGTTGACAGAGTTGAACAGTCTGTTGATCATCTACCATGTAGTCAGAGAGTATCCATCTGATGACTTTTGGAGAATAAAGGTTATATTTTTGAATATCTTTTTGTAAAGTAATGTGATTAAGAAGAGAATAACGAGAATGATAAATTTTAGAATGAAAATTAGATGGAAGGATTTTGGCAGTAGTTCCACTAATAAGCCAAGAAGTATGAACTTGTAAAAAATCAACATTAAAAGAAGAAATATGAGAGGGGTGATCGAAATATTCTATATCAGGGATGTCTTCTTCGGATAAAACGACAGAATCTTTAAGATGACATTTTAAAATCATGTCATAATCTCCTAGAAAAGTAGGAATTTCATCACCAGTGCCGGGAACTTCATTTAAATAATAATATTTTTGAACAGCTTCAACGTAATCTCGATGAAATGTAACATTCGCATATTTACGAATTTCATCGGGATGCATAACTTCTGGAATAGAATCTATACCGTTATGTCTTTTTGCATCAACACCTATCCATTCACTGTATAAAATTTTAACTTGACGGAGGTGACGTGGATTACAATAAATTGGTTTTGAATTAGCTATAGGTTTGAAGGTAAAAATTCTAGTTTCTGGATCGAAAGCGACACATTCAAGTGCAATGGAAAACTTGGGATCTTTAGCTTTTGAAGAAGGACCAAGTCTAACCAAGACTTTAGAATCCGGAAAAGAAAGTCGTTGTTTAATGGCATGTTCATGTATAGAATACCAATCTCGGTTTACACCTCGTAATAAATAAATCTGTTTGATAGGAAGATTAGCTAACACGTATTGGATAACGTCGTTCGGGAGTGGTGGTGACATTGCAATAATAAAAGTTTTGGAAGAATATCGCTACGTTATAAAGGAAATGTAGGAAATGTATATATCTAATATCTAATATCTCAGAGTAAAGCTGGCAATCCTCGAATATGCCACGTTAGTGTTGTACGTACGTACGTGTAAATTAATTACACCACCAAAAAAAATTTTGGGTAACATAATTTTAAATCATGATTGGATACTTTTTTCTCACGCTCAGATCAAATTCAAATATGTATCAGATTTGGTTAGGTGGTATCTCAACTTCTCAACTATATTATCTATATTATGTAAGGATTGATAAAAATTGTTTCGTAGTGCCGGACAGAATTATATTTATCATGTGCCAGAATTATATTAATGCCGGCTGAATTAAACGGTAAATGCGGTTAGAGAACAATTTTAGGCAGTTCTAACGCTAATCCTTACCGCATTTGCACCTATAGGCGTTATTTCGAGACACATAACAAAAATTATGATTCACACTCAAAATATTTGTCCCGAAATTAACGCCCATGGGCGTTACTTCGCGCAAATACGATAAATCTATATTACTGCATATATTTGTTTTACATATTAACTTTATTAATAAAATGTACATACGTATAATTGGCCAATAGAAATAAATTTACAAATAAGGGTATAAAAATTTATACCTATTAGGATCACATGAAATTGACTCTTGCACTATTATTGGCCATATTCGCCAGCATGTGACTATGAGCCAATAAAATTACAAATTATACTGGTAAAATTAGTTCTATCGTTATAACAAAAGGTCAAATATATTTTCTTAAACATATATTTTTACTATATACTTTCCAATTACTGATTTCCGATTTCTTTTGAC